CAAGTAAATCTAAGACAAATTATCTCAACTTAATTTTTTTCTCCAATAAGGAAAATGAGAATGAATTTTGGTATGAAAAATCGCTTCACTTTTAATGTTGCGGCGGCCGTGGGCCTGGCTATGAAATTGTAAATAGAAACCAAGCTCAACTCTAGCCTGAGCCCGCTTTGACTTGTCAAAGCCCGAATAAGTCTAGCACATGCCTAGTCCGATCTACCCAACACCCAGATTTAATAGGATCCTACGAACCACCAGCATCTCGCCCTCATCTGATGGAAGTTGATACTCATCACCCTATTCTTCAGTTGTCGCTTGTTCGCTCATTTCCTCCACGGCCCCCTGCTCAGTGAAGGACACACCTTGGCTCATCGGATAACTAAAAGTAATGTGTCCAAAATCATGATATTTAAAGCATTTCTGGTTGGAACTGTAATATGTGTGCTACTCTTCTCAGATTTCTTTTCACTCATAGAGACTCTGTCTTGTTCCAAACTAATCTGCTCCACTCCCCGAGGCGTGCTCCTCCTAAGATCTCCCATTATGAGTGGTTCCTTGACAGGCAACTTTTGCCTACGCTGCTTCTACTGTCTCTCCACTTTCAGTGCTAAGGTCTACATGTCCCTCAATATCCAATAGGTTTGCAATTGGACCGCATTATTGCTAGCAGGCTTCAAGCCCCCTAAACACTTGGTTATGATGTGCTCCTCTGGCTCATTCAACTCACACTTTAATTTAAGCTACATAAATTGTGTTGTGTACTCCTCCACCGATAGTTCCTTCTATTGCAAGTAGTGGAGTGTCAAGAAAATATCTTAACGATAGTGTGAGTGTAGGTACTATAGCTGCATTCACTTTTTCATTTTCTCCAAAGAAGTGATTTTGTCATGTCATTCTCTATCTCTCCCTCTTTAGATCCTCCCAACACAAGGAGACATTCTTTTTCAGCTTTATGGCGGCGAGTTTGGGTATCTTCTTGTATTCAAAGATCCGCTCAACAGTCTGCATCCACTCTAGAAAATTATCTGAATCCATTGTCCCCTTGAAGTCAAGTAGGCCCATTTTCACTCCCGAGTCTCAGCATTCTCCAAACTTTATCTCTGTATCTTCTAAATGGCATCTCATATTTATATTTTGCAACGGGCACTTCATCTTTGTATCTTCTAACAGGAACATCATCTCTGTATCAACCAACAGACATTTCACCTATATATCTTCCAGCATGCACCTCATCACTCGACCTCCTCTGATATTGTATCCCAAAGCGCCAGGACGATCATCTCCATTGAAATCATCCCTACGAAAGGGATTCATATGTTCTTCTTGCTCTCCTCCGTGGATTTCACTATTACGGTTGACGGTGATCCAGCCCTGGGTCCTTTCCTCAATGGTCTTAAATCGTAGTAGCACTTGGCGGAGTAGTCGTTGTAAGTCGTCTATGATAAATTCCTAATCAAGTTCTGGCACTTGCCTCATCGGCAATGTGGTTGGGATTGGGTTTGGGGTATGGGCTTAGGAAGATAGACGGAGAGGTGTACATGGATGATGTAGTGTGGAAAATAAAATTTTTTAGTTGGCAGTTTGAAAATTCAACAAAGGGAGAGTGGGGTTGGTTATTGGTGGATGTTAGAAACCCTAGGATAGGACTAGGATTATGTTAGCTCCAATACCAAATTATATAGGAATTGACCCAAACTACATCCAAAAAAGCTAATATTATTACTCAAAGCAATTAGGCGATTACAATCTCCCACACTTGAAAAGAAAATACAATATAAAACATAGCACTACAACAAGGGTCGTGTCCCGAAGATGTTGGTGGTGGGTTGGCGACTGGAATGGTTGGGAGGTGGCGGTGGAGCAGCAGACGCAGGAACAGTGGGGTCTAATAGTGGACTGCGGGTTGGGTTGCGATGACAGCTAGCAGGTGAGAGTTCTAGTAGGAGAGTTGCGGTTGGGATTTAAGGTGGGAGGTAGGATGGGTCATAGGAGCAGCAAGGACAGTTGGGTCGTAGTCTTGGCGGACTGGAGACAACTGGAAAGAGGTTTGAGAAGGCAAACTGGTTGGCGGCTAGATGGGGAAGCTGGGTGGCGGTTGAGACAGGGATGCGGATGGAGAAGCTAGGAAGAGTAGGATAGATAAGCATCACCTCAAAATGAGTTACAGTCGAAGCACCTCTCGTATTCGAATACAGCTCTTTAAGGGAAAATGTAGATGTCGACAACTATCCTAACAAAAAACAGAATCAAAAAATTGTCCTAAAACACGAAAATAACACATTTATATACTTAGGGTAAATAGGAGTGGACCTCACTCCAAATAGGAGAGTAATCCATGAAAAAAAGTGTCCCTCCTGGACTGCTCTAAGCAACGATATCCAACAGCATTGCAACAAGGGTCGCAGATGGCACCCCTACGAGAAGGCTCCCGCATCAAACACAATCTACATTCTACATATTTCTAGGTTATGTTTCTTCCCAAAAAGGTTGTCTACCATAGTTCAATCTCAGTCAAGACATAATATATTATGCAATGAGAACTTCCCCTATCAAGACATCTCACAGCATCAACAAACTAAACGAAACAAAACTAAACTCATTTATTCCTCTGTCACTAATTATCATCTCAATCTCTAGCATTCCCTTGCCCTTACAATAGACCCTGCCACTAAAACGACAATTAACAACCATTGCACCACTCAAGGTGAACCAACAAATTGAGTGACAAGTTCCTCGGCCCAATAACACAAAATCCACCTCCTCAGCAATACAATCACCAACAATCCTACCTCTCACGTCCACCCATCACAACCAACCCATCTGAGAACCCGTGACAACTCGCTCCCAAAAAGGGAACTTAAAACACAAACTAATCAAAAGCTTAATCTAACCACCAACATCAATTCGAAACCAACCTACCATTCATCCATTGTAAACAAACCAAAATGGAAAATTGGAATGTCACATGTGTTTCAAGCTTTACTTGAATAAGGTGCTTATGCCATCTCCATCTCCAGCTCAAAATTTGCTTGGCTGCAAATGGACATTTTGAAACTCTGATGGGACCATTGCTCGACACAATCTTGCTTTGTTGCCTAGGACTATAGATAGGAACATTACCTAGACTATAACAAAACATTCAACCTTATTACAAAGATGTCCATTATTCACATCCTATTTAGCATTGCTCACACAAATGGGGTCCATCAATGAACTAGAACTTTCCAACGTCTTTATACACAATCAATTGCATGAGATAGTCCAAATGGCCCAACCACAAGGTTGATCCACAACATTTACATCATATTTGCCTACTCAGGAAAGTTCTCTATGGCCTTAAACAGGCCCCTCAACAATGGCTTGCTACATTTTCAACTCAACTTCATCCACTTGGCATTACAAGTAGCACGACCAACCCTCTTTACTCATCTAGAAATGCAAAGCAACACGCCTATTCATCCTCATCTACTTCAACAATATTTTACTCAACGAGAATAATCGCATTGCCATCTCAGACCCAATTCAAAACCTCCATGGTGGATTTTATATGCAAAATATAGACAATCTCTACTATTACCTTGGCATTCATGCCACCCTGACAACTTACGGGATCTAGTTAAATCAAAGCTGAATAGAAATTTATAAATCTTCTCCCATTTAAATCATCTAAATCTCATCCACAATAATTTGACTTCACTAATCCCTCTCTTTACTATCACCCGGTTGGCTCCCTCTAAGTCCATACTAAAACACGTCTGGATATCTCTTTCATCATGAAGCACATGTATTAAAACATGTACAAACCTCTCAACTTCCACTTGCAACAACTTGAAAGATTTTGTTGCTATCTGAACACTCACCTATGGCTTATACATACATTGCAGCAACCTACAACTAAACTTATCATGACCATGATTGCTCTGATGACCATCGAGACCAAAAATCAACATCATGCACTTATGCCTCACTTGAATCCACCCTCATTCCTTCGTGCGGCAAGAAACAGAATACAGTAGCACAATCAAATAGGAAAGCATTGAATAAAGCCATTGACAGGGCGGCCGCTAATTTTTTTGGCTTCAATGGGTTACTAAGAGAATTTGACATTCCCTTACCATCAGCAACGCATTCGTATTGTGGCCATTGCTTTTGCTAATAACTCAATCTTCCATGCTTCCATCGAACACATAGAAATCAACTATCTCTTCATTAATGATTGCATCAAGATAAATGAAATTACCATGCATCATGTTTCTGCACAGGTCAACTTGCCAACATCTTTACGAAAATTCTCCCCATTGCTTGTTTTAGCATTCTTAGAGCAAAGTTGATGCTTCCTAAAGAATCATCAAATTGTAAGAAACAGATAACACCCCCTTTCGTAACTGAATTGTTAGGAGTTACAAGCACCTCTATACTGCTGCCATCACAACCTTAGGTTAGCAACCACCTAAAATCATCTCAGCCGTTTACTCCACAAGGAACTGCTATATGATTTGCTGGTTCTTTTACACAAAGCTTATGTATTCCTATAAGCAACTCTATGGAAAATGAATACTTAAATATCCTTTGCCTGCCCCTTAGCATACTCTGATTCTTCCTCTTTTACAATGTAGCGTATTGCCGCTACTTCTTCAAAAGCAACCATCCCTATAATTAACTAAATTAATTTAATAGTTAATTCTACATATACATATTTAATCAGGAGACACCTCAAAATAGCAACCAGAAACTTAATGAAATCAGCTGTTATTCAGACTCCTTCAATGTTCCAACAATGCAAATAGAAATAAATAAAAAATTATCTAATCAAATCCATCACTATCACAAAATTTCAGATGAACGGGTTTTGAAGCATTTCATTGTAACAACATATAAAGATGCAGATTCCAACACAGCATGATAACCAATCAATTAAAATCATATACTGCGTTTAGGTCTGTTCTAATCACCATTCACAATAGAATCCAACAGGCAGATTTCGGTAACAGATGTATACTTACGATTTTGCACATGACGATGCCCGCGAAAATGGAAACCGCCCACAGAACCTTATCGGTTGAACCAAAATTTCCATCCATCTCTATACTCTAAGAAAATCGGTCTCCAGCAACTGCAACGCGTAAGATTCTCATCAACCAAAACAGGTAAAAAGGAACTAAACAAATTACATTTTTTTCTTCTGTCAAACAACAATGAATTGCTCAATGAACAAAAGGAATAGCATCGCGAAAATTCTCAAGAAGCCAACATCGCTACGTTGATAAGTTGTAATATTCGAGGAGCAATACAAGAAATCTCAGAACGGTAGTTGAAGCAAGAGCACAGATGAAGGGGCTGAAGCCTAAACCCTATTATTGACCCATGGAAGAGAACAAACCTTAGCGTGGATCCAAAAGGAGTTTCCGCGCAATGAAAGTCTCTACTCAGTCTTCATAGGTTTTACACTAATAGAACGAATAATACACAGGAGAGAAAGAGACGGAACAGGATTGAGATGCTGGAACCGTCGATCCAATCGAATCGCGAATCTTTGTTGAAGCAATTGTTTTATTTATTTATTTAGTTTAAAACGCGAATCCTGTTTTTCCAAGGGGCATGGAAAACTAAGGGCATACGCCCTTTTTTTACCAAGTGAGGCACAACCCATGAAAAATTTGCCTCCCTAGGACTATGTATATAATAGAGATTATATTGGAGATATCGATATCATATTCACCTTATTTTTCTTGTAATCTCTATGCAATCTCCATATGACATATCTGAACTTACAAATAAATTTTATCCTTTTATTTTCACATATTTGTAGGTTACATGGAAGTTATATAAATTTTACAAGGAATATAACGCGAATATAATTCCTATATTACGCTTCTATAACATTCATTATATATGCAGCGCTGCGTGTGTCTACGTACACAATTTTTTTTTTCCAGAACCCGTCTTTTTTTAATAGAGCTTATCAAAATTTAAATAATTAAATAAAAATAAACTTAATTAATTAAATTAAATACAAAAAAATTATTATTTTTAGCAAAAAGATAAATAATAAGAAAATATCACTAACTCTATAAGTAAAATATAAATGCATAAAAATATTAAAATTATAAATTTTTAATTCAATTAACTAACTAATGTATAAACAATTTTTATAGCAAATGAGCAAGTTTGAAAATTAAGAATTGGTGAATTAATGAAAAATAATATTTTCTTAAGTGAAAAAGAAAATTGAGTGTGGGCTTATTGCTCTCCTCGGGCATAAGATAATTTCACACATCTATATTATAATTTTAAAAATATTATACAAAACAAAAAGGGGCATGAAAGGAGTCAATGGTTATGAATGCACTACATGATAATTGTTGATTAGTGTACGAAAACGGGATTAACATTGGATTTGTGTTGGAAATAATTTGTCTTTAAAACGGGGGTTAGTAAAAATATTAGTGTCGATGTCTGACGCAAATATTTTGCATCTGACTTAGCGACTGTAAATATCATCGTTAATCAATTTCGTCAAGTCAATGACTGATGCAAGTCAACGTGTTTTTGCATCTACCTATTTCTGACGCAAATTTGTGTTGACCAATCTCCGACGCAAATTTGCATCTAAAAAATATTGGCAAATATTGAACAAAATCGATTGAGATCTTACAAATAGCATCCGACGTTCTGACGTTATTCCGACACAAACCAGTAACAAAGAAAAATAATATCCAAATGAACGATTAGATTTTTTATAAATCTGCATATAGCAAATACAAGTAGCATAATGACTTATCTATCCATCATCACAACTCAAAAACTACATCACTAACAAGTGCAAATAATGATAAAAATATAATTTAATAAATAGATTTAAATGTATCATAGTTCACAATCATACAGAAGAAATTATCACATAATCAAAAATGAAAAAAAAAAAAACATAAATCGTTGTAAGGAGAACAACATAAAAAATCTAATGAAACTCCTAATACTTCTCCTCCTCCTCACAGTCTTCCTCCTCGTCCACAACATTCATATATCGCTTGCCCTGATGATCTGCAAAACTCTTCGTCTGGTGTGCAAGGCCATTCACAATCATCTGTTGGCCTTCACGTGCTTGACAGAGCTCTTCATTCATGGTGTGAGCCATCTGAAAAGCTCATCATGCTGAGTCTGTAATGAACTAGGGCCACCCACAACAACACGATAGCGCTCAGCCTTAAAAGCAATGCCCTTCGCACCTTGGTCATACATCCTCCCCTTCTTCCCCAATGTCTATGTCCATAGCTCAAAATTGGACTGCACAGTGGCAGACTCGCTACCACTGTTGCTAGTTGATGTCAAGGTAAGGCTCACCAACTTTCTATGCCTCTCTTGGAGTTCTTTTTATTCCTCCTGCATCATTAAAATTAAGAATTAATTATCATTTTAAATATTAATAATCACAAAAAATACAAAAAATCATTTTTTTTTACTTAGACTGACTCGTTGAGAGTAGTTGGAGACTCACTGCGATGTGTCCGGCCACACGTGTGTCAGGACATGCAACTCTATAGTGTAGGGCTCTAGATCAAGTTGCTTTGCATGTGTGCATAAGATAATGGTCAGTATCACATAATTACATAAATTTTTAATTGTTTAATTTTTAAACGTCGACCATCTAATGATCTGATTAGGAGAGTAGATGTTTGAGATTCGACTTGTGTTAAGAAAGGCAGAGGTAGACCTAGGAAGACTTGGGCTTATTGCATTAAAAATGATCTTAATTTACTAGAACTAAATGAAAATATGACACTAAATAGGACGCAATGGAGAAAAAGGATTCATGTAGCCGACCCCACATAGTGGGATTAAGGCTTTGTTGTTGTTGTTGTTGTTGTTGTTAAGATCTTAAATAATTTTACAACTCTCCAATAATGCTTGGTGTGGGGGTTGAAACTCCAATGTGTGCGGCCCCCTGGCTCTCTTTGTCATCTTGTTTTGTTGGTTTGTCTATCCCTTATTTTGAAAATTCGAAGAGGCCTAAGCTAAAGTCAAGTCAACCTTGACATCCTCACCCACTCAGATGGGCCTCTCCTCCTTCTTGCATGATTTAGTGAACAAGTTGCTCAGCCAATGCTTGTCACGAACCTCAAAATGTGACAGATATGCTGGTGATGTTTCGACAATCAATAAAAGGACCTCTGCAAATTAATATTTATGAAATTTTGATTAGTATAACAAAATAGCTTAAAATTAATATTCAAATTCAAATTAATTGATCTACCTTAAACTCCCGGAACTAATTGTCCTGAGTTGCAATTACGATTTATTTTCTGGAGAGATATGCTTGATCACACCTACTCTGGATGATTTCGTGATGTGTGTCACAGGAAGCCTAGAATGGAAGCATCTGAAATAAAAATATTAGTTACAAAAAGAATTGAAACAAATTTTGAACTTATTCCAACTTTAATGATAACATAAGAGTCTCCATCTAGAATACACTTCATGTCAAAGGTGTCATCCATTTGACGGGTGGAAGTTGAGGGACTTGGCTCACCGGAGGAGAGATCTGGAAAGAAAACTAGTGCGGGTGCTGGTGCTTGAGAGGGTGTAGGTTTGGGAGGTGCAATAGAAGGACTGATTGGAGTGATTGTAGGGGTGTTTTACTTGTCAGAGTTAATCACGGCCTTCTTTAGCCTCCTATACATGTTTTTTAAATTGCCACTGAGGGTTGACCACTTGTTCTCATCTATAAAGGAAAAGAGACAAAAAAAAATTAGTACTAAAAGTAAAATTAAGTAGGAGTAGTGTATAATACAACCCACAAAAGTAAAAACAAGACATTGTAGAATCGAAACATGAAACATGCCATGGCTATGTCTAAAAACTATAAAATTAAGAAAAAGTATAATGTAAGAAGCAAAAGTAAAAGCAAAAAGGTGTAGAAAAAAAAAAGAAATATGTAGTAACTATGTCTAAGAAAATCAAAGCTCTAAAACAGCAAAAGAAACTAATCATCTAAACATACATATAATTTTTTTGACTTTTTCATTAAACGAACCACTCGATGATGAAACTTAAAATTTCTATGTCAATTTCATTATCATTATCTTCCATATTTTGAGGAACTTTTTCATGAATTCCTATGATATCCTCTAGAGCAAATATTTCTTCATTTAAATTGAGTTGAATATAAAAATCGGACATACCTAACTCTTGGTGAGTTCAATAATAGTTTGTATCTCAAGAATTTTTTTTAGTTTTTTCTTCATAATAATGGCTCAATTAAGTTCATCCCTTGCTCGACTAGGGTATCAAAGGTAATAAACTTGACAGGCCTGACATGCTAGAATAAATAGATTGAACTTTGGATATCTTTTATTTATTTTTACTTAGGTAATATAATAAATGCTTAGTGTTTGTGTTCCTCGATTAGAAAAGAGATCAAACCATTCATAGTTGAACGTGGAGACATTGTGTTCAGCAGAACCCAGTTACTGCAACTGAACTACCTATTCGAGTATGTCGTAATTGTTGATCTCACTATATATGTGTTTCCTCTAACACAAACACTGTAATTATAAGCATGATTCTCTTCACACCAGGAACTCGTGTGAAATCTGTAACCTTTCACATCAAATATTTCTCATGTCTTGACAGTATGATTAGGCCCCAAGCAAGATTTATAAGCATTGATCTTCGATTTTGTTGCTTGTATTATAAACTTGGAAGAAGTTCTAAAGTATAATTAGTTTAACTTTGAATGAGACAATTATATGACATATTAGTGAATTGAAGAGTTAATTCAACGTAAATATAATTTGAACAATGTTGAAAATTATTCTTTGATTTTATTACTTATTTGAGTCATCTGCTATGTTCAAACTGTTGATAAATAATATGCTCACATCATTCTTATTTATATATTCGAGTTAATTGGCATAACATTTCAAGTAATAACTAAGAAAACTTCTTATTACTATTAATCTTACTTTATAAACAGTTGCACTTCATCGCAATTTAGTAGAACATACAATGTAGCTACTTGAAGCTTTTTATTTTTGAGGTAGGGTGTATCATGCATATCTATTGGTTCATCTGATATCTAAAATAAGATAATTTTGCCTGTGAAGGTATTTCACCAAAAGTTTCTCTGCTCTTTCACAAAATAGTGGGAACAGAAAGTAATTATCTCATGTAGTAGGTCTATCTCACATATCGATCCCTTTGGATGTGCTTTATTTCTAACATTCATTTTGATTTTATTTGGAAATCTGCACGATATAGTCATTTTTAAATAAATGTGGTGGTATATTACTTTAAAATACAATGCAATGCATGATTGTACTCATTGAGAAGACTTAGCCCCAGAGGGTCACATCCATATGTAATGCACTGGACCCCCCAATACAGCCTCAAAACACAGATGTATTGGCAAATTCATCATAGAGTCAAATAAATATGGAAGAAATATCCACTCAAGTTTGCATGGTAATAAAATAATACTCATATAAATATTCTTTAATGAATCAACATTCAAAG